TAGTGGGTGCGCGTGTGCACGCGCGTAAGCGTGTGTGTAGGCAAGTGCTTGCACGGTGTTTGCCAAGCCTCTGTCTGCAATCGAAAATCTTGGTTGGGTTTTCTGTTTTCTAGTCTTGTATGGGTATAGGCGTGCGCGCGCGTGTGTGTGTGTGTGTGTGTGTGTGTGTGTGTGTGTGTGTGTGTGTGTGTGTGTGTGTGTGTGTGTGTGTGTGTGTGTGTGTGTGTGTGTGCGCGCGCGTGCGTGTGCACGTGCGTGCGTGTGCGCGTGCGTGCGTGTGCGCGTGCGTGCGTGCATTAATGTTCATGGTCCTATGACGCACTTGTATTCGTATATGCCTATCAACGCATCCAAAGCGTTTTAAAAACAAAAATTAATAATACTGGTGTTAATGGTGTGTGTGGGGGGGGGGGAGTACTCGCCTAGTTGAGCTTGAGAGGGTTAAGCTCTGGGTCTTTGATCCCGCCTCTCAACTATCAACTGGTGTACAGGTTCCTGAGCCTACTGGGTTCTATCATATCTACATTTGAAACTGTGTATGGAGTCAGCCTCCACCACATCACTGCCTAATGCATTCCATCTGTTAACTACTGACACTGAAAAAGTTCCTTCTAACGTCTCTGTGGCTCATTTGGGTACTCGGTTTCCACCCGTGTCCCCTTGTTCGCATTCCACTCGTGTTAAACAGTTTATCATTATCTACCCTGTCAATGCCTCTGATAATTTTGTAGGTGGTGATCATGTTTTCCCGAGCTCTCCTATCTTCCAGTGTCGCGAGGTGCATCTCACGCAGCCTTTCCTCGTAACTCATGCCTCTTAGTTCTGGGACTAGTCTAGTGGCATACCTCTGAACTTTCTCCAGCTTCGTGTTGTGCTTGACAAGGTATGGGCTCCATGCTGGGGCTGCATACTCCAGGATTGGTCTTACCTATGTGGTATAAAAGATTCTGAATGATTCCTTACCCAGGTTCCTGAAGGCTGTTCTAATGTTAGCCAGCCTTGTATACGCCGCAGATGTTATTTTTTTTATGTGGGCTTCAGGAGACAGGTTTAGTGTGATATCAACTCCTAGATCTTTCTCTCTGTCCGATTCATGAAGTACTTCATCTCCCATTCTGTATCCTGTTTCCACCGACTGTGTCTGTCTGTCTGTGTTTGTGCGTACATCTGTAGGTGTGCTCCTGTCTGTGCGCGCGTCTGTCTGTCAGGTTCGGAGTGCATATAGCGTACAGGGGAGGATCCTTACAGGTCAACGCCCTCATTTTTAGCATGGCCAACACACACTTAACCTCTCCCATAGCAACGGTTGCCAACCTTCACCCCTTCAACACATTACCTCCGCCCCTCCCCCTCTCTCCCCTAGCCCCTTCCCCCTCTCTACACCTCTTCTCCCCCTCTTCTCCCCCTCTTCTCCACCTCTCTACACCTCTTCACCGCTCACCCCTTCCCTCTACCTATTCAACCTTAACTCCTACCCCCTTCCTTATCTTATTCTTCCTTAACTTATTCCCTTCTTTCCCACGTCCCCCTCCCTATCTACCTCTTCCCTCTCCCTTGTTCTTTCACGTTTCCATCTCTTTCCTTCTCTCCGTTTCCTCCTAAACTCTTACCCATTCCTGTCCTTTTAGTCTCAGTAGATCATTCAATGTGTAGCCTGTCTCGGTGTCTTTCAGGAAATAGCCCGAGGCTGTTGGGAATTACCTCTGACGATATAATACTTTTGTTTTGTTTTACTGTGATCTCAGTAATGCTGTTTTTAGTTCAAGATCTAACTCAAGAAGAAGCCAACGAGTTCAAAGCAACTACAGCACATTTGCCAGGATTGAACCTGAGGCTGTATTCTGCACATTTCTATCAAAATTATCAAAGAATAACGTTGATTCATTGATACTCTTGGGATACTGTGCCCTCTTGAGTTACTATTAGGTGAACAGCAGAATTAGGTGAAAGGAAACGTGCCAAGACATTTTTGTCCTGCCCGGGGAATCGAACCCGGGATACTTTGTTTCGAGTCGAGAATAAAGCCCATTAAAGAGTAAGCAATATTATTGCAATATTCACTGTGAATGCAATATGGTGTAAATGTTAGATTTAAGGACAAGTTTCTTGGCGAATCGCCTCGTTAACTCGCTTGAAGAATGAACCTTTCCTTGTCATCAATCTCTGGCCGTTGTGATGATTTCAGAGATTGCTCGGCATCTCTCTCCTCCGCCAAACGATGGGTCAATTAGCAATAAATTTGAAGTTAACTGCCAACCACACTGGATGACCAATCGGATAACTGCATTCTTCCGTCTTAAAAGAGACTCCGTGTTCACATAGCGTTCTCTAACTCGTCTTAAACCAGTGTCCCCATTCCTATAGTGATCGGTGTGTTCCTCCGATATTTGTTAACGTTGATATGATTTTATTTTTTTCTGGAATCCACTTTTTTTAAATTGTAAAAAAAATCATTTTATATAGTGTTAGTCTTGCTGATAGATGTTTTGGAGGTGTGGAGGGGGGAAATGGCCTTGGTGTTTTTGTAGGGGGGAGGGGGTTTGAAGGTTCCAGGGGAGGGGGAGTTGGAAAGGAGGGGGGTGGGGAGCTTGGTGGTGGGGCCTCGCTGCCGGAATGATGGGAGTTGGCGCGAAGTTGCGACATTGTGACAACTTCCCGTGACAACTTCTCTTCCCCTTACCAATGTCTATTTACTGGAGAGGGTGGCAAGTGCCTCGCGAGATTCTGGGGGCCAGATTCACGAAGCAGTTACGCAAGTACTTACGAAACTGTGCGTCTTTTCTAAATCTTTGGCGACTTTCTTTTACAATTATTAAACAGTTAATGAGCTCTGAAGCACCAGGAGGCTGTCTATAAAAATAACAACATTTGATTGGGAAGTTTTCTTGCTTGTAAACTGTTTAATAAATGTAACCAAAGCCGTCAAAGATGGAGGAAAGATGTACACGTTCGTAAGTACTTGCGTAACTGCTTCGTGAATCTAGCCCCCTGGTACTTATCACTGCTGGAACTTCCTCCTCTGAAGGAACTGCTCCCTGCCAGTACACTTGACAGTGACACTTGACTGCTGAAGCCTCTCGCTTGTAGCCGCATGCGCGCTCACGCACGTTTCTTTGCCCCTGAAACGCATTTCTGTTTCTAGTCGTCTGTTGAACTATTCGTCAGCATCCAGGCACAGTGCCGGCACAAAATTGTGCCACAATGTCAACCAGCTTGTTGATCTAAATTCCCAAGTCGCCCTCCTTTCCAGAACCAATAAAAATCAATGAGAATATTGACCAGACCTACACACTAGAAGGTGAAGGGACGACGACGTTTCGGTCCGTCGTGGACCATTGTCAAGTCGATTGTGTATAAAGTCAGTGGTCCAGGACGGACCGAAACGTCGTCGTCTCTTCACCTAATGGTGTGTGGTTTTGGTCATCATATTGGAGGGAAATCGACAAGGTGGACAAGGGCAGCTACTTTAAAGTTAAAGAAAGTAGAATGACAAGACATTTTACTAACAATTCCGAGGGTAATCTGGAGGGAGGAGTGGTTGAGGGAGGGGGATGTGGTGTTGAAAATGGGTGTAAGGAACCTTGTCTCCAGTTCTGCGGTCTTGGCCTCATTAAAGCTTGTCCGGATACAGATGGCTATGGAGAGAGTGCTTGTGGCCTACCCATCCTGGGGAGACATAGGCGTTCACTCCCCCCTATCCATCCTGGGCCACAAGAAGGGTAACTGAATATGCCTGTTTCTTTGAGGCAGTAAGAAGGGGAATCTAGAGCGTCTGACCATTCAAGAAGAGGTAGTTCTCCACCCCCACCCTTTCCTGCCTAATTAGCTGAGGGCCTGGAGCCTGTGATTAGTTGATAGACCTAGGGGGCCTAATATCTCGACCGATTGGCTCTAGGGGCCAGAGGAGTGTAGCCTGGGAGGCCTGTACCGCAGGCCGTGACAGGAGAGGCCACGTGACATTTGTAACGTTGGGGCAAGCTTTGATATGGGTGTGACCGCAGACCTGGAGACCAGCCTCACTGTGCACTCCTCTGCAACACTCCGGGAGTTGTTGCAACTTGAATGGAAGATGGTTAGTCATTTATTATGCACCCCATACCACCCCGTGGGCGGTTGTAGAAAGGATTACAAAGGCACATAATAGGTTTAGGTAACTTAATCCCCCCCCCAAAAAAATCATTTAGCTAAGCGAGCAGCATTTTTATGAAGCTAGTTACACAGATGAGTCGAAGAAATTTAAAATTTATGTACCCTGTATGGGGTGGATAGGTCAACAAGAGGAAGTGTACTGTAGGCAGGTGTTAAAGTTGTCTATTAACAACTTTAATGCCAGAGTCGACAAAAGAATTCAAGCTCTTATAACGCAGCCGGTGCAACAAGGCTCGTAGGCAGGGGAATGAAGAGCTAGAGCTCGCTTACCTGTAGTCACTTATAGGTAAATACACACACACACCATTCAGGATTCGCAATCCACGGACTCTTGGTTAGAATCCTGGGCGATTTATCTGATGTGTCTGCTGGCCTGGGTATAAATTGGTACCTGGGAGTTGGTCAGCTGCTTCGGGCTGCATCTTGGGGGGGATGCCTGAGAGGGCGTGACACATGTGTGAAGTGGATATGGTAGAGAAAATTTGGTTGGAAGTTAAATACATTGGACAACTGACGATTAGGAAGGCGGGGGGGGGGGGGGTTCCAAGAGGTAGCAGCTCGATCGTGCACGCACACGGACGCACGCACGCACGCAGGAGAGAGAGAGAGAGAGAGAGAGAGAGAGGGAGAGGGGGAGAGGTGGCAGTTACAAATATAGTCTGGGTGGCAGACCATGTGCTGCTGCTGCTCTTGCAATAGGAAAACCGGAGGGGGTGGGCACCCAGTCGCTCTTACCTACCCCCCTCTTACTCCCCTTCCCTCCCTTACCCCCACTCCCCCCGCCCCCACACACCGCCATCCCCCCCCCTCCCCCCCTTTCCGCAGCTTGTGGCACAGCTGGCCCTCTGTGGCACCAGTAGCCTCAGTCCTGGTGACGGTGAGTGTGAGCGGGCACGTATACCCCTGCCGGTGTGCGTGTCAGTGCGTGTCCACTCCTGTGTCGCCCGGCTCTCCGTGTCCGACCCCCTCCACCTTATATGTTACGTGTCGCGCCCCTTCTCCCTCTGGCACCTCGGTAAGTATCTGATGGAGAGACCTCTTCGGTCCCCTCGTCTGTTGGGGGTGGTGTTCTGGACCCCTCGTCTGTTGGGGGAAGTTGTGGGTGGTGGGGGTCTGATGGGGAGGGTTGTGGTGGTGGTCTGTACCCCTGGTCTGATGTGGGGGTTGGTGGTCTGGACCGGTGGTCTGTTGTGGATGGTCTCGACTGGTTGTCTATTGAGGGGGTTGTGGGTGGCGGTCACCCCTATTGAGGGGTGGTGGTTTATTGTGGGGTTGTGGGTGGTCTGAACCGGTGGTCTGTTGTGGGGGAGGGGAGTTGTGGGTAGTGGTGGTCTGTTATGGGGGGGGGGTTGAGATAAGAGGACACGGTTATGATGAAATCTTTCTGGGCTCTTTAATTATTAAGTGTTATAATTACTATTATTTTTAATTATTTCTATTATTATTATTAGCCGCTCTGTTAAACCAATTGGTCGGGTGAAGTGTTCCTTCAGGTGCTTAGGTCTCCCTCCAAAACATTTCCAAACCAGCCATTTTTGTAAGCAAAATCAAGGTCCTTCTGTTGTGTAGGAGCAGCAGCCAGGGACGACCAAGGATGCTCCAGTGTTAATGTTTAAGCATCAACAGTTTGAAGGGATTTCTTTCATCCATAAGTTCAGTTGGCGAAGAGTTTGGATGAGTGCTCTGTGGGTGTTCAGGTGGGTGAAGATGTTCACACTACTGAAGTAGGTGAGTGACTAATGCTGTGTGGGAAGGGGGCCCACGTTGGCTCTATGGGGGCCCCAGTTTCTTAGCTGGCTCACAAATACCTACATACCTCGATACTAGCGAAAAAAATAATGTTTAGTGCAACAACCACCATTCTGAGTAAGAAGCTGTGAGGTGTTAAGATGGCTCAAGCCAAGATGCAACTTCTCCAGGTGTCTCAGCAGGTGTTTGAAGAGTCTAAAAGTCCCTTTTAATTAGTCAACAGCTCGGGTATCGAAGTATTTTGACCCCAAGGGCCTGGGGGGGGGGAGGGGGGGTATGCAGGTGTTGGAGAGGTATTTAGACCAGCCCCCTCCTGGGGGGGGGGTGAAGAGTGTGTGGAAGAAAGTGCTTAAATTGAACGCGGTTGGGCAAAGTGGCAGGTTCAAGATTCCGGTGTTTACCAAGGGCAGTTCTGGTTGGTTGCCTCCTCACTTGAGGTGGTTCACTTGAGGTTGAGAATTGTGAGACACACTTAAGAACTTTTTTTTTTTATTCGCATGTTCTTAAGTTATCAAGTGCGCCGAACACCTTTGTTTATATTTCAGGAAAAAAAATAACTTTTCGACCTGCTAATCTTCGTATTAAAGGTCACCATTTGAGATTTCCCAAGTGTTGGTTAACTTCGGGAGTGATTTTAGAAGAATCTTAAACTTATACATATATTGGGGATTTTCTTAGCAGTTGACTTAGTGTTTGAAAGCAGGTTTTAATACTTAATGATAGTTTCAATGCTCGGATGGTGGGGAGGAGGGGTGGGGGGGTTGAGAGTATTCGACCAGTAGAGATTGTGTAACAAGCGTCAAAAGATTGTTACTTGCTTAGCTAAACGAACTCAGGGGTTCAGTTCCTGAACCCATTATGTGCCTCTGTAACCCTTTCCACCACCGCCTACGGGATGGGTATGGGGTGCATAATAAAGAGGACCAAAGGTGGGATTCAAAAATCTATTTCATGCAGTAGTTTAGTGTTGGTGGTGGTGTAAGCGTTTGCAAATACCAGTGAATAGAGAAACCTTTCAGACCCTCAAAGTGTTCTTGAGCATTAATTAAGGACTCTGGGACCTTCTTGTCGAGGTTCTAGAGTCCAGGACCTTGTGTGCGCGCGCGGGCGTATGTTCGTACGGTTAGTTCTTGGGTCCTTTCCTCTCAGGCATGAGGAAGAGTTCTCTTTATTTCTTTCGGATGCGGTCTTCTGTCCTTGGCATCGATCTCCATAGCCTTGCACATGCTGGTATTGAAATTGATTAGCCACTTGTTAAACCATTCTTGCACTTTGTGCAAATTGATTTTGTAGCTAATTGCAACCTTCCTGCAAAGGCTGCAATTGTCCTCATTTGTGTCATTAGAAAGTTCCGAGAGGCGGAATCCCTCCCCTCCCCTCCCCTCTCCCTGGAGATCCTTAACATCATTGTCATTGTGATCCCGAGGAAAGTGGACTTGGTTATGCGCGGTTACACCTCTGCTTGTGTGGCTGTACAGTTGATGAGCAAACTCCTTTAACGTACTGTGCCATCAAGGTGCCAACCGTCCAAGTGGTTGGGCACCATTCCTTTCTTCCTTCCCTCTCATCCCAAATCTTTATCCTGACCCCTTCCCAGTGCTATATAGTCGTAATGGCTTGGCGCTGTCTCCTGTGAGCTCCCTTTCCCTTCCCATCAAGGCATGTGGGCAAGGTGGAGGCGTGACCACACCGTTTGGTGCTGGACTACTTTCTTGTCTCACAGTTGCGGTCGAAGGCCGCTTTGTTTTGGTCTACACTTCAGGACCTCAGACCGCTTGATGTGGCCCCTCTGTACCTGATGCTACACCTCGTACAGCTTACATATGGAGCCGCTGCACGACTTACGGGCTATTCATGCCCGTGTCGTCAATCCGTGCATCACCTATCAACATTACTGGTGGAATGAAGGGTCAAATTATACATAAATAGGGCTTTTGTTTCCACACCACCGCGAGTAGCAGCGGGAGACGGGACCCAGCCCCAGCTCGCGGCTTTTGAAAACATGACCCACAAAAGATATAGATTGGTGTATCGTTCACGTTTCAGACCAGACCCGGGCGAGTGCATCATCTTCAGTGTCTTCTCACAGTTGTGTGAAGACAAAAGAAAATCCTTTAGCGCATAATATATGGTTCGGATTCTATCAGTTATGTTGATATGTTAATAAACATTATATGGCAGTTATAATTTGTATTTCGTATAGGTGTGTTTGTATTTATTAAATCAAATGGAATAGAGTTATTACGTGTAAATTTAGCGAAGTTTCCCTATGCTAATTGTTGACTTTCCCTCAGTACGCTGGCCACAATAGTTGCATAAGCCCATGGGGACGATTTATTGCTATATGAACACAGGCAAAATAAAAAAGCAGTAGGTGAAAGGAAACTTGGCCAAATATGTCCTGCCTTGGGAGTCCAACCTGGGCACTTTCTGTTGTGATTCGTGCGGAGGCGTGAAGACGTGCTTACTGGTGTTATTGTATTGTGCCAAAATTACTCGATATTTGGGTCGGTATCTAAGGTTGGGACCTTAGATACCGAACTTGGTACACGCTGATGATGGGACCTTAGATACACGCTTGCCGTCTTATAGACAAGAGACGCACATTTACAAGTCGGTCAGTAAAAGATGTTGGAGTGTAGTGTACTTTTAGTAGTGTAAAGTACGACGGACCGTGTCCGTTTTGCTTTTTTCGAGGGACACGGTCCGTCGTACCTGTTTTTCGTTACAGTTTTGAGGGGACACGATCCGTCATACCTGTTTTACATACCTGTTGCAATGAGTGAGGGAGGTGGTCCTTCAGTCTTGTCTCCTTCCGGCTGTGGCTCAACTCTAGTGTTCCAGCTGTGCAACCATAGAAATATTAACAATCCCGTTGTAAGATTGTAAGTGTTTCACCATCAAACTGTAATTAAAGGCAAGGCAAGGTAATTATCAGGGACGAGAACAGTCATTGCGACTATATAACACTTGGAAGGAATAAGGATTTAGGATAGGACATAGGGAAGGAATGGTGCCCTACTACTTGCCACGTCCATGGCACGGTTGGGGATTGAACGCTGACCTGCAAGAAGCGAGACCATCGCTCTACCGTCCAGCCCAAGTGGTTGGGCCGTAGAAGTTATTGAAGATGATAAATCATTTACATAGTGTTCGTTGTAGTTGGATACTTTAGAAGATTTTTAACACTGTTCCACAACTGCAGGAATTCAGGTAACGCATCCTATTTCCCCGTCTGCCTAGCACCGCTGGGCGTTGACGGTACTTAGCTCCTGGGACTCGGCATTTACAGGCGACATTTTGTAGTATTCAGTAGCACAAGAGCGTCACTACTGGGCGCTGTTCCACTTGCCAGTAATTGGTAAACTGGGAGAAAATGTATTATCTTCTACTGTGTTTAAAAATAAAGTTCATATGAGCTGTAGCAGGCAGACCTCTCGTCCTGAAAATAGTCTGAAACCTCTGGTTTAAAGCCCTCGACTGCCCCCCCCTCTTCTCCCCCCTCCCCCCCCCCCTCTTCTCTTTCCCCCCCCTCTTCTCTTTCCCCCCCCCCTCTTTTCTTTCCCACCCCCCTCTTCTCTTTCCCCCCCCTCTTTTCTTTCCCACCCCCCTCTTCTCTTCCCCCCCCCTCTTCTCTTTCCCCCTTTCCCAAAATAAGAGGGAGCAAGACCTTAATTCATTTTCACGTAAAGATGTGTACGTATTTATCTCTACATATTTTTTTTAATATCGTATTAATTAATGTTGTTTTTGTATGTACACGTTTTTTCTTGTTCCTTTACACGTGGATCACTCGGCGGCGTATTGGGCAATAAACCATTTGAAGGGAAGGAGATTAAGGACGTATTTTGACTCGTTCCAAACAGTTGGAAATGATAAGTTCACATTATTATTTGGCGGTAATATCTTGTATTGAGCCTTTTACAGTAAATAATGTAACAATGTAAAGAACATTACAATAATGTAACGTAGAGTAAATAATACGGACCGGTAAACGCACACATGCGCGTCCGCAAACGCAGACAGTCTATGGTACAAGGCTGAGTGTAGGACTGCTTACCGGGTGAAGAATTTGAGAAAAAAAAAATATCAGTTATCACCAATTTTACTGAAGACCTCCAGGAGAATGGGTGATAGTTCTTGCCTCTCCAGCAATACCGTAATCATTTACTCCAAATCCCTCAGTAGACCGCAAGGAACAAGGCAGGCATGTAAGATTTCCACTCAGACTTCGAAAACTTTTGTCTTGACACGAGTTTGAGGCCA